TAAGTAAAATAAATTAACCCAAACAAATAAATAAACAAACAAGCCACTCACGCAAAAATAACTGCCAGAATAGATTATCCACAATGTCCCACTGACCCATATATATAGTTGAGGAAAAATCCAACATTCATGGCCTGATGATTGCGTCTAGCATGAAACAGTCTGTCGCCTCTGAGTGTTGACTTCAATGTTCACTTTTATATTTACATATGCTCTATCTCTGATATATTGAGCACTTTATCCCATAAATATAGCACACCTTAAAACTATATTTCTTTATATATATATATATATATATATATATATATATAATTGGTTTGGTTGAAAATTTTAACAGGTTAAGATAATCTACATTAAATACTTTGTTAGGAAAAATACTGACAATTAATAAAATTTGTTTCAATATTAAATAGAAAAATGTTTCACTTGTCCTAATTTAAAAATCAATTATGGAATTAAAAAAAAATAATACCTTGTAATAAAATTCAATTATAACTACAAATTTTTTTTGGTGGATGTAGGTAATCAAATAATAAAGATTTATAATAATTTATTTTTCTGCTTATATTGTGATTTTTCTGGTGTATAATTCCTTTTGTATATATTACTTGTATAACTGGGACATTTCTCTCAGACACAACATCATAATACATTTAGATTTAGGTTTTATAGAATAGAGTATTAGAATTATTGATGAAAAATAGAACAAGAATGAAACAAGTGTTAGTAATTTAAATTTATCTAAAATGCTGTGTATATCTATTCTTTTACTGTCACTATAAATATCTAAGATACATTTGATTATTCTTTATGAAAATTTTTGTATAATTTCTGCTTAACACTTTTGCTGCTGCATTGTTAGGAAATATAAGGAATTGTTTTTTACAGCTTGTGTTTATATTTAAATAAGCAAATTTGTAAATTGTGTAATATATTTGAGATTTTTTTTTCTTTTCATGGTTATTGGACTGAAATAAATTTCTATACTGAATAGAGAATAGATAATATAGCAAGTCAAGTTTGTGAAGTAAGAAAATTAAATCCGTTAACTCTGAACAGAAAATGCAAACTGAAAATTAAAAGAATGTAATTGTGAGGATTAAGATAAAATAAAATTTTAAGTTAATCTGTATAGAGAAATTTATTTCAAGTTTAATTTTCTTTTGAAAAAAAAGACAATTATTGATTTCTTTGACAATATTGAGAGTAGTGTATTGTCAGGTTACTTTTTTGTCTTATTTGATTGTATACAAAATTCATGCTAAGTAAAAATTAGTCTGTTAAAAGTTGAAGAAAACATTCACAATTTTGTATAGAAAAAATATGGCAAATTAAATCTCTTTTTAGCTTGAATAAAAACATAATTCATGAGGAAAAATTTAAATAATTATGATCAGTCAATTGCAATACATGATACACATTTGGGCGATCATGTCTGTTTTGATTCAGAACTTACTAGGCAGATTTTCCTGCAGTAGGCTGCCATTTCTTTCTGTGATAGACTAGTTGCCAACCAAGGCTATAGGACCAAATCTGTCCTGCTATTCAACCCATAGCTGGGAGGAGAAAAGTTGGATTCATAACTTTCTCAAGGGTATTTGTATGTAAGTGAATGTAACAAACCTGGCTGGAATTTGAACTTGACTCTATTGATTTCTCATTCTGAGCTGCTATCCATTATGCCACCACACATTCCCTCAATTATGATACTTACCTGGCACAGGGCTCCGTCTCTGTGCTGGTGATATCATGGATACGACTAGATTGGACCAGCTATGACACGCCAAGACTAGCTAGGACTAGCTTAGACCAGCTTGGACAAGCTAAGACCAGCGGCCCGAGTGAAAAACACTTGGGTCCCCACGTTAAAAATTGACCTTGTGTCACAACCTGGCTCAGTGGGGGTGTCAAGTAAATATACCCCAATTATGATAGGTAATTTAAAATACCCTCCAGTTATGGATTAAGTAGCAGAGTAAACTAGGTTCTCTAGCTTTGGGTAGCAACTAGTCTAGGTGAAGTACTACTCTGAATTCAAAATTCTGAAGTTGACAATAGGAAATCACTCCCCTGTCTTTTCCAAGAAGTCATGACAATTCATAGATAATAAAGGAAAGGAAACTGTAGAGCCCTGATTGCCTATATCCAGAAGTGAAATAGCATTTTAAGTAAATGGAAATGGTATTAAATTGTCTTAATTTGAACAAGTAAATTAAGACTCCCTCATTTTGATGTTTGCTTTATTTTCACGTAAATTATGACCCTTATGCTTATTAATGAGTAATATTCAGTAAGTCTTGTCTCTACTATGAAGGCTAATATAGTATTTAAAATAAAACCTGTCATCCGCATACAGGTCTGTTTCGCTGTATCACAGCTCATCAGTGCAGCTAGACATCCAATTGTTTCAAATCAATTTGGTGTCAGTCTGAGTTTCTACCCGTGAGCTATCAGCACATGGTAGAAGAAAAGGGAAATTCTAGCATATTATGTTTTACGAATGTAAACAAACACCAGACAGCCTTGATTCATTTTAATAGAGAGAGAGAGAGAGTGACCTGTTTCATTGAATAATTTAGACAAGTTTTGTCCACGTATTTTCAATTCGATCCTTTCATATTCATGGATAAGCTTTTTGGTGTCGTTATTGAAGGACAAGAGAAAATACTGTGTTGATACATATTATTTATTCCAAGTACTTTTGTCATCATCAGGATGTTGTTTATTGCAAGACAAATATTGTAGTGTTCATTATTTTCGAAGATAAAATTGTTGTGTTAATTTGAAAGTTACATTTCTTGTGGAGTGAAGAACACTGATAAACACTAATGACAATAGATTCACTATCTCCCCCATGTAAAAAGCCTACCAGCATAAATTCGTGCACCTTTAACTATAAGAGTGAATGTCCAAATCACTATAAAAAATTCTAATAAACCGTGAAAAAAATTCATCCACAAAACAATTTCTGCAGTGAACTAAAAAATACAAAACAAACTCTTATTAATAATAACTTCCCTAACTATATTATTGATGATTTTTTTATACTAAGTAAATAGAATATAATACTTCAACTTACCCCAAACACATCAATCTTTTATATTGCAACTAAATACATTCTAATTATAAACAAGACAAAAATATCCTAAAAAAAAAAATTAATAAATACTAATATATCCACCACAGATCCTAGTAAGAAAATAAAATTAATTATATACTACATTAAATCTAGTATGTCTAATACAATCATTTGTAATGACTCTTCCCCCACCTACTAATGTGTTACAGAAAACCAACATCATCTATAAATTTAACTGTCCTCTTAGAATTTGTATCTCCAATGGCAGAAATAATATGTATGTTGGACACACTGCAAAATGTTGTCTCGGTGACTGAGTTTTCATTTGAGTGATATGTCCAACATTTCTAAACATTTCCAACAACATACCTGTCCACATTCACAATTCAGAAAAATTCTTGTCGAAAATACTTCTATACTTTTTCATGAAAAGAATAAACTTAAAGTAAAAATTATCGAAGCTAACTATATAAAAAAATTGAAACCAAAACTTAATAAAATTATGAATACTGCACAAATGTTTTAAAATGTGTACAATAAATAGGTTAAACTGCTTATTTCATAAAAAAACTTCACAACCATACTTAGTTACCTCCCCTGAAGTGGTGTCAAGTGATCACACACTGACTTAATGTTCTTCACTCCACAAGTAAGAAATGTAACTTTCAGATCAACACAACAATTTTGTCTTTGAAAATAATGAACACCTCAATGCAATAAACAACACCCTCATGATAACCTTGTGCTATGTCAAAAGTACTCAAAATAAATAATGTGTCAACACAATGATTTTTCTTGCGTCCTTCAATAACAGCACCAAAAAGCTTGTCCATGAATATGAAAAGATCCAACTGAAAATAAGACAAAACTTGTCTAAATTATTCAATGAAACATGTCTCAATGAAAACATGCTGCCAAAATATGTACACACACACACATATATATATAGTGATGCATTACATTTTAGTAGTAGGCATGTAAAAAAAAAATAACAACAATTACGTTTGTATTTTAATACAGAAAAGTTCTAAGCCTGGCCAACTGCTTGCAAAATTTGACCAAACATCTGAATGTGTTTTGGAATTTTCAGCTTAGGCTGAGAACTTTTAAGCACCTTGTGGTAGTATACATATGCAAAAGTAAAATTTTTCTCATTGCTGTACACTCATTTTACTGCTATTTCTCCACTTTCTCACTTTGCAAATTGTGGCACTCAATCTGTATGATGTATGTAATGAAACTCAGGATAGAGATTAAGGAATTTATGTTCAGTTGACATGATTGTGCTATTTTCAAGAAGCCTGTAGCTCTCTGTCTAATATTGACAAGTTTATGTCCAAAATCATCATCCAAATTGGTCTTTGTTCTTCAAATATTAGTGACAAAGAAAGAAATATGTAAAAATTTCTACTTTAAACATAAATGAATAAAGAATGTATTAAAGTAGGACTTAGTAATGTATTCCAGATTTTCTTTTAATGATATATTAGAACTTAGAAAATTTGCTTTTAAATCATTATTTTTAAAAAAAATACATAGTTTAAATTTAACTTCTGATGAATCTTTTGTATGGTAATTTATTATTTTACATGCATTTATTGAATTTTTTATCAGCTTTTTATTTAAAAAATATCTGACTCATTTGTTGAATTATATATAAAACAAAGTTTTGTGATATATTAGTGCTGCTGCTGGTTGAACAAAACATTTAATTAAAAGAGTAAATTTGCTTCTTATATTTCTTTAACCAGTAATCTAATATCAAATTTTTATTTGATATGATATTTGTAGAAAGAGTATTTTTAAGAATTTGTAATTAATATGTGTGCTAATTGCTTAAAAGGAGTCTATTATTTCCACAACACATTCTTTGTAAAGAAGAAATATCTGAAACATTGTTACAACTTGTGTTTGTTTTCAGGCACCAACAGTAGATCCTTGTAAAATTTTGAAGAGTATGGCTCCTCTTCTTTGTCAGAATGGAGGCATTAAAGGTGAAGAAGAGGCAGCTACTGTTGCTAGGTAAGTGATACTTGGAAATGTTTTCTGGCCTATTTAATAAGTTGATATGTTGTGTTAGCAAAGTCAACCTCTGATTCTTATTCCTTTCAAAATTTTAATCATTGTTTAGGATTTGATGATTATAATTTTTGAAATGTTCTTAGATATAAAAAGGATCATAATATATCAAATGCATTTTCACTATTAAAACTATATGTTCATGTGTTCTGATAGTATTTAAGAATGCTGAACCAGTTTGGCTGAAATAATTTGTGGGAATCAATCCAGTAGGGAAAAGATTACCAATAACATAACTATAATATTGGTTGTGTTTGATATATAAGCAAGTATATAACAAGAATTAGATTTTCATGTCCATTTTATTAGAAGGGAAAAGTGTCAACAACATATTTTTTTACAATTCCTTTTTAACATTGATAATATTAAATGGTTAAAATTCCAAGTAGTGGTTCTAATGAGAATTTCAATGTTTCAAATATGCTTTTGAAAAAGCATGGTTATAAACACTATCTATAAATATCATACTTTGATTATTTTTATGATTTAACAATATCATAAAGTTTTGTTAGATTTGATTATTAAAAAGAAAACAATAAGTAATCAATTTATTTTTAACTAAAATTATTAAAATGTATTAATATTATTCTTTGTCATTTTTAAAGAGAAATCACATCTGGGAACTCATTTAATTTCTTGTATAACAATGATGCATTAGTAAATTATAATTTGATGAAAAGTAACATTTTACTAATTCTATCAATTTTTTTCCTGTTAGATTCAATTAATTGCAGCCCTTAACCATCAACTTTAAAGCAGTATATCTTAGCTTACAATAAAATTTAATAATCACATAAGAACCATTAGAATTGATGCATTGTTTCCAACAATCAACAAGTGTATTTATTTCAATAGTATAGCATTCTGGAATCCTGTAACTGACGAATTCTTTGAATTTTTCAGATGCTAATTTATTGAAGAATATTTCTTATAGGATATAGTTAAGATGTTTGAAAAGGTAATAGTCAGTTAGAAAGAGAGAGTAAGCTGAATGTAAACCAGTCCATCCAATTTCTGCAGAGTCCTTTGTGAGATGTGCAGTCAGGCATTGTCATAGAGAAGAATTGGTCTTTTTAGATTTCACAATGCTAAATGTGAACATTGAAATTTTTTATGCATTTTTTTAATTTCCTGACAATATTATCTGTAATGTTTTTGTCATGCTTCTAGATGTACTGAATGATTCCACTTATCAACTACCAAACACAACTTTGGTGAATTGTTCTGGTGTTTCACTTTGATCCAGCTACTGTGTGGAATGCTGTTGAGTGTTGTATAGAAACTATTTTTTGTTATGTCACTCAAGAAGTGGATTGTTTATTTTTTTTTTTTTTTAATTTTTTTTTTTAAGCGTTTCACCCCAAGCAAGGCGGGAAGCCACTAGGACGCAAGGGGTTACAGAAAATTTGGAACAAGATCAGATAGGAGTGATAGAAGAAAGGATGAGGAGAAGGATAGTGGATAGATCAAGGCAACTGGAGATGTCAATTGACATTACATTTGAATAGCTGGAGATTATAGCTCTCAGGGAAACTAGAATAGGGAAGGGAGTTCCACAGGCGAGAGGTGCGAGACATGAAGCTATTGGAGTAGAAGAGACGGCTACATTTAGGAGTTTTGACAGTGAAGGGGTGAGAGCGGGATGCCAGCCTCGTCGGGCGCTTGAACTCATGAAGTCAGGGAACCAGCGAATGCAGCTCCTCTGAGCAATTTCCATGAAAGTATTTGTAAAACAGACAGAGGCGACGTTGCGTCTGTGAGAAAGTGTCTGTAGACGAGATGCCAGATCAGGGCCAATTATATTGCATATCTGCCTTTGGAGCCTATCAAGAACCCCGAGGCAAACAGAAGGGGCTCCAGACCATATATGGCAGCAATACTCCATGCAAGGGCGAATTGTTTAGGTTGCACAAAACAAGTGCAGAGTAGACCTTGTAACTGAATTTGTTTTTTGTTCAGCTCATGTGGCACCTATTTCTCAAGCATTTTTGATTTTTCAATTGAGTGTAAATATCAAACAATTGTTAAATGGTCAGGGTTTAGTTTTCTGCAACCTCTTGAGATCTTTTGTATAGGTCCACATCAGAAATGTTTCTCAGTGGTTGTTGTCCATCTGATATTGATTTCTGTGACCCTCTTCATCTTCAAGGTTTCTTGTTAGAGTTCTTGAAACCAATGTTCATTGAAGATCCCTGTTTGGTGGATATTGTGAACTGTTTAAATGTTTAGAATAACAAAAGCTGCAATTATTTTTGCACCAGCTTAATATTTTATTGTCTGATCATAATTTTATTTCTTAAATTGGATAAAATCTTGTAATTCTTTTTGTCATGATGTTTATTTGCTAAACATGAAAATATTCAGTAAATTCTTCTCATGTTTTGTTTTGCTCAATTTTTTCAGTTATTGAAAACAGTTTCTACTCTGTTCAGGTTGGATTTCTGTTTTTTGTACTGCTTAAAAGATCAACATTTCTTGAAAAAGTGAGAAAAAGAAAAATTGAAGATAAATATATGAAAAAGCCTGGTGCAGTTACTTTGAAAGTAAAAACAATAATACGGTCTTTATTTAATTTGAAGTAAAACAAAGGTCATTGCTATAATTATTATTTTGCATTAGATCTTATAAGTTTTGTAATTTATTATAAATTAATAGCAACAATAAAACTTCTGTATTTTCAAATTGTTCTAAATATTCAAGATTGCTATTTGAGTCTTTTAATTTTTTTCTTAAATTTATATGAAAACATTTTTTTTTTTTTTAAAATAAAATTCACTCAGAATGCTGATTCCCAAAAATAATTGAAAAGTTCAGTATAAATAGTTATCTCACATGTAGACAACTATGATGTATGCATATTATGATGTATATTAATTTTTAAAAAATTTTCCATTGATTAGAATCAAAGTTAATTTTCAAGAGCCTGAAACTTTTTTTTTAAACTAAGGATTAAATTCTAAATAAGAACAATTTAAATGTGTTCAATTCTAGATTAATTAGAATAGTGTGTTAACTTTTAAATAAACTTATCTCCTCATTAGTTTGGTCAGATGTTATCCAGTTTATATTTGATTTTCTATTTGTCTCTTTAGCCTATTTATTTAAACTAAAATCAGAATGTTTTATTTATTAGGTTTGGTAGAGTGATGGTTTTACTTTTCATTTTGTTTTTACAGATGATAATTTTTGTATCATTGCTGTTAAAATTTGAACTTTGTCAGTTCTTTAATCTGTTAATGTAAATACATGAGGTCTACATAAAGATAATCTTTGTGCCTTAAAGACTGAAATTGATCAATATATTTTCAGTGTTAGGAATGAAATTTTTTCCATGTAAAAATGACTTTAAAAGTTGAACCCTTCGGATTAGTAGCTTTTTGTTTTGATAAAAGTACTGAAGACTCAAAATTTGGATTTTACTTAAACAGTTGAATTTACTCATTTGCTGTGAATATTCTGTTTTAACTTCATTCAGATGCAATGTAAGCACATTGTAATGACATTTTATTTTCATGTTTTTCTCCATTTTAATTATATCAAACTTTTATAATTTAGCTGCTAAGTTAGTAGATTTGTTTAACTTTGTATAAATTTTCTAAATTATAAACATTACACCATACAACAATGATGAATAATATAGGCATAGTTATTTATGTATTTATAGAAAAATATCTGTGCAGAATTTAGAATTTTTGTAATGTTGCAAATATTTGTAAATATTCTTCTCTCTGAAGACTCTTGTTCAGTTCTGTTTTTGTACTCTTAAATCTCTACCTGTAAGCTATATAATTAAATTTACCGATCCATTTTTGATGATCACAGATAACCAGGCTAATTTGATTTTGATTTTTTGTTTAAATTGGAATACTTAACTAGTTTTGTTTCTTGCCACATTTAGGTTGACTTGGCCTTTCCTTTTTTTTTTTTCTTTTCAGCTTGATGAGAGATGCCAATAAAATGGTTAGCAAGTGCATTTATGTGAATGTTTTGAAGTCAACTGATGGTCAAGATATTTTAGAAAAGTAAGTTCTTTAATAAATAAAATATTTGTCACTCAGTCCAGCTTTTATCACTTTCTTGATATAGTTTTTAGTTAGTAACTAATATTTTAACTCTATATATAAAAATTGAAGCTTTCCTAAATATAAATTTTGTTTAGTACAAATATTTCATATTGTAAATGTTTCTATTGCTTGTTTGATTGTGCGTGTCCAGTGTTTATGAACTTATAAATTCTGAATAGTTTGATAGGGTGAAAGGAAATTGTTTGAAATTTTGCTTACTTTGCATCATACTTTGATTTATGAATTTAGATACTGAAACAAAATTGGTAAGTAGAATAATAACAGCATAGTTGTTTCAGTCTGTTGTGTGTAACTATCACCTAATTTTTTTAATTTTTTTTTTACATTCTATTTTGAACCTGGTATTTCAAATGGCCTTGATATATTTTCATGGATAAATAATTTTTAAAGTACTTGTACAAGGTCTCCAAGGCATGGTGGAGTAATGGGTAGTGGCTTGGATTGGGGAATCTGAAATCCAAGTTCAAATTCCAGCTGAATCCATTACATTCACTTATGTGCTAATACCCTTGGGATAGGTGAATCCTCCTCCTCTTCTCCTTCCAGCTATGGGTAAATAGCAGGACAGACCGGATTTTACAGCCTTGGATGGCAACTGTCTACTACAGAAAGAAATGGCAACGTACTGTGGAAAAAATCTGCCTCGTCAGTCATGTATCAAAATGATTGCCTAAGTTGTATCATGCATGGCACATAACTGACAGAGTATAATAAAAATAACATTAAAATGTTTAGAAAATAAAAAAGTAAAAATGTTAAAGTATTACAAGTGAATAAATACAAAAACAAATTAACATGATTTTAAAGTAATTTTTATAAAAATGTGTTTATGAATTTTCATGCTTTTATCCTACTTTAAGACTAATGCCCTGTTTATTAATTTTTTTTATATAAAGATTATTAATGCATTCTAACCATTCACAATTTAAAAAAAAAATGATTTTAAAGTCATTATCAAAACCTTTTCATTTACATTTAAGGGAATTTTTCACCTGCCTCATGAATAAATTTTCTGTTTGTTTCAAATTTTTAAATTCTCCTTTATATTTTCAATGATAAGCAGAAAACATAGCCCATAAATGTTTATTAATGTTTCGTTCAATTTTTCAAAGCAAAAATTAACAGAAAAATTTTTTTTTTTTTTTTTTGTTTATTAAAGTGAAATTAGTTCTTACAATCAGAACCTAATGTTTTTCGCATTTTAGAGATAATGTAAATATCTAAATTTAAGTCCTTCAACTTTCATTTGTCTCATTCACCTACCACTTTTTAAAAAAAATGTTTAACTTATTCGTGTGTATAATCTACTAAAAGCTCACCACTATTGGTGACAAGTAAATTTTTTTTTTTTAACAAATAAATATAATGGATTTTTACTAAATTTTTTTCATACAATCATTGTCCCAGAAAACTTAACCAGTTGTTTCAAACTAATGTTCTGTCATTTCTGGCATGATATTAATCTTGAGCCTTGGTTTGGTTTGTAATATGTAGTAGTTAGAAAATTACCTATGTCTCTAGTAAATTATTTAAATCTAATTTTTCAGCTGGTAAACAGGTTTTGTCATTTTTTTTTTTTTTTTTTTTTATCCTTATAGATCAAATGTCTTCTTTTGCCATTGAAAATTATAAATGCTATAAATAATGTCTGTTACTCTTCTGTTTGTATTAGTACAACAATGATTCAGAAAACTGAAATATTCTGTTTTTTTTTTGCAAATAACATTAACACTTCTTGTTTGAATTCTGAGGGGAATTTGTTATCGTAACTCTCATCTGACTTTCCCCAGATGTGGGGGCCCACAATCACTGAAGGAAATACAGAATGTCAATTCATTACTGAAAAGTACCTGGTTCCATTGATCAATGGACCAACTTTGATGGTCTCTATCTCAGATTAAACACTCCTGCTTAAAAGTTAGTAGTGGTATTGAAAGCAGTATCCTGCTGTCATATCCAAGCTGATAATTTCAAGAGTGTTGGGCATCAAGAAACAGTTACACCCGTATCATTCCAGGCTTTGGAAATTTTATCATAATTGGCAAATTGGTTGGAAATAAGGATTCTATATAGTCAACGTACATCTCTTACTGTTGTTTTGATTTTGGAATTTTTTTGGTTGGGCCATCTTGAACAAATTTATCTTATCTTCGATGCAGCTAATTGAGAGCATACCAGCTCATCTGCTTTTGAGTCTTGCCAGCTTTGTGTGCTTCCAATATATCTTTAAATCTTGTCATTTATGATACTGGGTGATAATGTGCTGAACACTGAAAATTCTACTCTTTTTATACCAATATTTTGACATTGAGAATACTACTGAAATGACCATGTGTAAATGATTTAAATAAATTTCAATTGTCAAAAGAGGAAATGCCAGATTGTTTAGATTAAACTATCCAATTGTAAACAAATTTGATTGAGAAATATGAAAGTTATTCACAAAAAAACAATTTTCTATTTTGTTCAATCATTGTAGTAAATAGAAATTATAATATTTTAATAATGTTCATTTCACGCCAAGAATTAGAAAATCTGTCAGACCACACTTCCAATTCAGGATAGCTTGCATTATAAATGGTGTTTGTCTCATTTTTTATTTACCTAATCTCAAAACACTTGATTTCTATTAAGTTATTTTAAAAAAATATTCAAATATATATTTATCTTAGCAATTACTTTAAACAAAACAAACTTTGTTGTTTAAGGACCTTAAAGGATGATAAGAAATTCTGAAGAAATTTATCTATACTTAATTTGTAATAAGTATATTTGAAGTGTGTTTCCAAAATAATTTTTAGAGTTTTCAAGCCATGTTAGTGTGGAGACAAATTTTTCATTTATTAATGTTAAACTAGACAAAATTAAACTTTAACTTGAAAGGGACAAATTATTTCTTCAAATTTGAAACTGATTTTATTGGAAGTATTTGGGTGATAAATTTTGCATTTTATTAGATTAGATTTAAATTTTCATAATATATACTGTTTTTCACTCTCTGGAAATTTGTTTGTTAAAACAAGAAAATATAGTTTAAGCTGGTTTGGGAAGAATTACCAAAAAATTATGTTTATTCTTTTTATGTTTCTCTTTTCTTTCTGACTATTATCTGTTATTGCTAATATTATTTGTTGTATGTTTTGCTCTTTTATTATCTTTTAAAATGTCAAGTCTTGTTCTGAGAGAGCATGCACTATTTCTTGCGCTAAATGCTCACTCAATAAAAGGCCCAAGAATCACTCAATGTAGAGTGCTACTGAATAAAATATAGACATAAAAGGAAGTAAGTGCAGATTGTGAGGATATGTAGGGGGTAGGGTAGACTTAAGAAGTTGTGATTGTAGTAATCGGTGGAACATCCTCACTGGAGTCTGTTCCATAAAGTAGTGGTTTGGTGGGAGGAAAGCTACCGGGGAGGAATTTCCTTCTTACCAATGGAAGGGAATTAGGATGATTTGACCATGTGTATGGCATGGCAGATCTTGGCAGTAAAGGTCTGAACTGGTGGGACTAAGGTTGCTCATCTGAACATTTGCCATAGAAACATGGCATTTACTTAATGCTTTGCTAATGGTGCAACAGAGAGCCAGAACTGGGGGCCTATTTCAGTTTTCATTGTTCCTCTGGAAGTGACATTTTTTGGGTTTATGGTATTTTGTTGCTGTAATTGGCTTAAGAAATTCAAAGTAAAGAGTAAAGATTAAAAGCATAATTAATTTGGCTCAAAAAAGTTACTCTTCATCTTGGTACACTTTTGTTTTTCTAAGGTCATATTACAATTAATATATTTAGCAGAGCTTCAGATCCATCACCACCCCCACTCTGTTAAAAAGGATGTCTGGAATGTTGCATGCATTTTAATATTTGAATTAATTATCCATCTTAAAATTGTTTTAATTAAACAAAAACCATATCAGATTTATGAATTCTGTAAGAAAAATATGACAACAAAATAAGCTTGACAGTAACTTATTTAGAAATAATGTGACTATTGTTATTGTGACATATTGTCTTAAATATACTTTTTTTTATAGTTAGAGAAGTAGCTAGGAAAAAATTGATTCTTAAAATGTATGGTTTAGCAGCAAGGTTGGGGTTAACATTTTCTACACCTCATTTACAATATTTAAAAATATGGAATTGAATTTAATTATGACATTAACTTTATGTAACAGCATTCTTAATAAATGGCCTTTTCATTTTGTAGTATAAAAATATTACATTTGCATCTATTTTATGTTTTTTTTTATGGTAGACTAAACTAAAATTCAAGATGCATTTCTTTAAAATACCTTTAGAAAGAAAAACAAATTACTCATGTGAAGATGTGGAAAATTTTTATCAAACATATTTTGCTGGTAAAAGTGTATGTTCTCTTTGGCTTCTTCAGTTTGAAGAGAGTATACACTTCCATCATTGATAAAAAAAAAATTCCATTTTATCTCATCATCTTCACTTTTGTTTTACTATTATACACCCTACAAACACAAATACTCATAAAAAAAAAGTAAGTTTTATCATCAATATATTTACTGTTATGAATAACAATATCATAGAGAAAAATATTAAATTATTTTTGTGACAATGGTATTTTTAAATAAATTTTACAGTGTAAAACAGAAGGAAGGAAAAAATATTCGGAAGAAAAGTTACTATTAAAAATTAAAACTAACAAAACATTGCTAAATTAATTTTCTTAAGAGAATTTGTAACATTTGTAAAAAGACTAGAAAATCTTGGATCAAAAAATTATTTCTTTAAATTAAGTAAAGTTAAAATGTAACATTATGGCATAGTGTAGTCAAAATTTAACCTGTTAGAAACAAAAATAGATTACACAAAACAAATAAAGTTGCTCATTAGTGCTTTTATGAATAAAAATTTCATAGAGAAGAATATTAGATTTAAGGGAAAATGCAAAATTGACTTCCAAGTAACAAGACCAAAATTCTGAAATTTATTTTTTAATTTTTCAATTAATTTCAGTTTGTTTTTGCAATAAACATGAAATAATATAACATGTCCAAAGGAAATAAATAAGTCTTATACTTATGTCAATTAAGTTAAAGTTATCCCAAGCAAAAATTTGTAAAGCTGGCAACAGTGAACTACCACAAACCCAAACTGAAACTAAAATGTGCTACACCTGGTGGAATGATGAAATTTAAAATGGGCTCGAAGTTCTGGCTCTCAGTTGCACCATGTGTTGGCCTGAAGTAAAGAACATCATGCATAGAAATAGTGATAGCAGCAGTACTTCATTTCCGCTCTGATCTGACTCTTGTAAAGATAGAGCATGGCAGGATGGGTCAAATATTTTCAGGAATGCTATAAATAACTGACCATTTTTCCAGTATCTTTAATGATGGATTGTATGTACAAGTTCCACATGAGGTCTGGGGTGAACTTGAGTCTCAATAGATATTCAAAGCAAGGATCCTCACTAAGTGTACAACTGTTCATCATGACTGGAGAAAATTCAGGGTCTGCTTGGTGATGGTGAAACATTGTTTGGTTTTGGAGACATTGAATGTTGCAAGCCAGTCCCCTCTCGCAATGAGCTGTTAGAGTTAGATCAGAGGAGAAATCAGTTAATGAGCTCTGATCATCTAGATTTTTTTTTTGAGGTGCACCCATAAATTGTGATATCATCAGCATTAATAATGATTTGAGAACGTTCCTGGGTGGATCGTTAATATAATATGGAAAGAGGGTAAGCCTAAAGAGAGAACCTTTGGGGATGCCTGCATTGATTACATGGGCTTGAGAAAACTGTCACATCCAATGCCCCTGTCTATGAGCTACTTTTATAGCAGAAATTACAAGAGTGAGACCAGCCATTCATTAAAAGTAACACATAAGTAGAAAAAAATACTAAAATAAGGTACGGAGGGAGAGAGGGAGATGCATAAAATAGACCTTGGTAGAATAAAGGCAGTAAGATGAGACAGTATTGATAACTAAGATGATTGAAGGAATCATCACATACTATGCTCCAATCATTTAATCAGCAGGCTAATAACACATGAATATCAGTAATCATAGAAGAAAAAACATGACATATTTCAGCTTCTAAAAACATGATCACAAAAATGGGAGTGCTGGTGAAATTCATTCTATCAGAAGACCACAGGTCTAATGACTTGGTCTGGAGAGGGCAGTTTTAAGCGTCCTCAGGCAGATACTGTTGTGTATGGGGCGGTTAAGTGCCTGCTCTCTCTTAATACTATAGAAAAGCTGGAGAGCACTGCATCTAAAATAGTATGACAAAAAATAAAGGAATTCATCCAAATGAAATAAAATATTTTAGATATAAAACCTGACACCGAATATTAATAAGCTGTCTTGGGAAATGTCTCCTTTGATGAGAAATTTCAAAGTTTGAAAAGCTAAGTTCTCAAAAAAAATCTTTACAAACTTCTTTTTGAATATATTCATCTCGTATTTCAGGTTTCTAATTAATGGTGGCTGGGATATCATGAATGAATGGTTGCATGATGCCCGTGAATCGGAGAATACTCCTTTACTGATGGAAATTTTGAGAGTTTATCACACGTTGCCTGTTACTATTGATATTATGAAAAAAAATGATGCTGCTAAAACAATTAAGCAATTGAGAAAGTCTGAAGATGAAGGTAAGTCTATAGAGATATTAATACGTCTCTCCCACCAATATTTATGTAAAAAATCATGTATTTTATATTTGTTGTATTATGTGTCTATAGTGTAACTTGGATATTCTGCATGTGTGTTATGGACATAGACAAAGAATCCAAAAAGCTCCTTGCCATATAAAAATAACTTTTGAAAAGTTCTGTATTAAAGAGTAGAGATGATATATTAGATAACAAGGATACATCAGATATTCTCATGGCATTTAAAAAAAAAAAATTTTTTTTTTATACAGCTCTTCACAACTGAAGACAAAATTTCGCCATTTGGCTGTCTAACATAAAATGACAAATGTCACAGCAAGATAATTATCCCAAACTGCTTATACATCTGAAAATATTCAAGGGAAATGATCTGGTTATTGCACAATAGGGACAACATACATGCAAAATTCATATCTTGTTAAGAATAATCTATGAAAATTACAGCAGATAATTATTATTGATGAATTGCTGTAATTATTCCTATATAATATGCACATTGCGTTACTGAAAAAACATACACATTAACTTTAACTTTATAGATTTCTAACAATTGTTCAACTTCTTATCAAGTTGTATTCGCAAAAAATAAGAATTTACATGGTTTACATTGTTTTGAAATGTAATTTTACACACAGTATGCTCACATGAAAACACAGCAAGTATTTTCACAAAAGATAAAACTGAAAATTAATAGTTAAAATACATATTTAATTTTAAACAAACCATTTAAATTTTGTATAGAATGTAATACATGTACATTTTTTTCTTATGAGGTTATCTTATTTTAAAGTTCACTGTGATTTTTGCTAAACTTCACATTAACTCATATTTACATTCCAAATTTTTTCTACTGAGAAGAGAAATCTTTTTTCTTGCTTATCCTACTTGTTCTCCACTGTTTTTCTTGTTCTTTTTTCTCACTTTCCTTTTTTCTCTCTTCTTCCATTTTTAGTCTCTCTCGTTCTTCTCCTCTTTTTAGTCTCTCTCGTTCTCCTCCTCTTTTTAGTCTCTCTCGTTCTCCTCCTCTTTTTAGTCTCTCTCGTTCTCCTCCTCTTTTTAGTCTCTCTCTTGTTCTCCTCCTCTTTTTAGTCTCTCTCTTGTTCTCCTCCTCTTTTTAGTCTCTCTCTTGTTCTCCTCCACTTTTTAGTCTCTCTCTGTTCTCCTCCACTTTAGTCTCTCTCTGTTCTCCTCCACTTTTTAGTCTCTCTTCTCCTCCTCCTTAAAAACTTCCCCTGTTCTCCTCCCTCCTTAAAAAACTTCCCCTGTTCTCCTCCTCCTTAAAAACTTTCCCTGTTCTCCTCCTCCTTAAAAACTTTTTAGTCTCCTCCTTAAAAACTTCCCCTCCCTCCTCCCTAAAAACTTCCCCTGTTCTCCTCCCTCCTTAAAAAACTTCCCCCTGTTCTCCTCCCTCCTTAAAAAACTTCCCCCTGTTCTCCTCCCTCCTTAAAAAACTTCCCCCTGTTCTCCTCCCTCCTTAAAAACTTCCCCTGTTCTCCTCCCTCCTTAAAAACTTCCCCTGTTCTCCTCCCTCCCAAAAACTTCCCCTGTTCTCCTCCCTCCTTAAAAAACTTCCCCTGTTCTCCTCCTCCCTTAAAAAACTTCCCCTGTTCTCCTCCTCCTTAAAAACTTCCTCCCCCCCCTTCCTCCCCCTGTTCTCCTCCTTCCTTCCTTTTTAACCCCCCTGTTCTCCTCCTCCTTCCTTCCTTCCTTCCTTAACCCCCCCGTTCTCCTCCTCCTTCCTTCCTTAACCTCCCCGTTCTCCTCCTCCTTCCTTTTTTAAAAAATCATCTCCCGTTCTCCTCCTCAAAATTACGTATTCTATAAATTGATGTTTTCCACTTTCTATTCTTACCAGTTTTTATGGAAAACACATGGCAACCATACCAGTAATAAGCTCTCTTTACTGATTTACTACCTTATTATTGATGATCAGATGTTAATAGTTTGTAACATATTTCTTGTTTTTTGATTAGCAAAAGAATATTTTTGTTAGATTGTAGAAATTGATAAAAAAATATTACAATTTTAATATTTTTTCAGTTTGCCTTTTGATTCACCTTTGTTAGTTTTCTATTTTTTGTTAATACCATGAATTATTTTACATAATTTACCAATGTTCTTGAAAATGACAGCATATATGAAATTGATATTTTAAATGCTTACTATTAGGCTTTCACACTATTTTTTTTATATCATTTTTCCAATTATTAATGTTCTATTCTGCTAGTCTTTATTTTTGTCTCCTAGCTTTGCAAACATTTCATAAGTCAGCCATGATAAGATACTGTGTTGCAAGAGAGATAACTTGTTACTTCTCTTGCATTGGCAATATTCAGACATTACAGACAAAAATATACAAATATTTGGTTACTTTAGTATCTTTTTCTTTTTTTATGAGTTTGTTATTTATACCTTTTATAACTCTTTAACCATTTAATTTTTTATATATGATTTTTAAAATATTTACTTTATAGCTTTTGAGTGGTAATGAAATCTAATGAAATAGTTTTGTATACTGTATATACTTGTGTATAAGCTTACTTCATCTACAATGCAACTCTTGAATTGTGAAAACCTGTTTTTTTTTTTTCATATAGTTCATGTATAATGCGACCCCAGCTTATGAGCAATGCTAGTAGGCCTGTTGCAGTACTGGGCATCATCCTGGACATATTTTATAGCAAATAAATAGTCTTCATTTTTTTTTGTACAAAGCTATCCCAAAATGGTGTGAAAAAAAACACTGTTCATGTAGCAACAGAAGGAAAGAATCTAAGCTATGGGAGGCAGGTTAAAGGAGCTTATGGGTACAGTAAGGGTTAGCCAAAGGTATTGTGAGAACCAAAAATGCATGAATTTTTAACCTCTCCAGAAAAATTTACCTGTGTATAGTGCATCTGGTCACTGAAAATGCAAATTTTTAGTCTCTTCAAAAAAATCACCTGTGTATTTGTAACCCCCTACTTTTTGTGTTTTAAAAGAAAAAAGTGATCATAAAAACTTGCACTATACTCAAGTATATATGGTAGTAGAGAACATTATCTTCACTTAAAAAAAAATATACAAGTTAAATCTCTTAGATTGTGTTCAGATACTAATAATTTAGGTTTGTGACCTGTTTTAATGATTTTATGTTGGTCAACATTTAGGATGTTTTTCTTTTTCTATTTTAAATTATTTATAATCTGTAAAATTGAATGGAAATTAATATGAAACATTTAATTTGAGGTACATTTTAAGTGTCTTCTTTGGAAAAATTTGTAATGTTAGCTTTACCAAAAAAAACAAAAAAACTCTTTCAAAATATATTTTCAGTGATTTTTCCAATATTCTTAATGATTAAAAAATTAGATACTGTGGTGAAATTCTGAAGAATAGCTTAATTAATAAATTTAACTATCAAAACAACCATTAAAAATTTTGTATCACCAATTTTTATCTAAAACATTTAATTTTTGTAATTAGTATTTTTTTGTTTTTGTTAGGATTCTGAGTTTTTCCATTCTGTACAATTAAAATAAGTAGAAACTTTTAGAATGTCATAAATCAAGTATTTTTAATTTGTGTTGTGAACATAATTTGAAGTATTCTTAATATAAATATCCTATTGTCTAGGTATGTCCAATAATTTGATGAAAAAAGGTCCCAAACTTGATAAAAAATAAACTTTTATCCTCAAAATGTTATTATTAAGAGGAAAGACCAAAGTATTTTTTGACTATTTTATTTAATTTTTTAATCATCCTTTCTAGCTTTTTTTTTTTTTTTTTTTTTTTTTTTTTCAGTAATTTTTTTCAGTCATCCATTTTATGACAATTGTAAACAAGTTAGTTCTTGGTTTTTAAAAATCTTGCAAAAATAAAATGTTTCTGAAATATTATTTGAGGAAAATTAGCAAATTAAAAGTTTAATTAATCTGATTTGAAGCAAATATTACTTTTAGCATAAAAAATGTAGTAGGAAACTAAGAAAAGCATTGCTTAACCAAGACAAATTGTTTTTCTGACATTTCCAAAAGTTAAGTAAGGAGGAGCTGTTTTTTAATTTTTTTTAACTACCCAATATTTTTCTTTTTAAATTAACAAAATATTTTCAGCAGTCTAATATTTTATTGAATTCTATGCTTTTACAGCCTTATGTTTGAAAATGTTTTCTGATTAATAAAATTTAAAATACTTAAAAAAATTTGAAAAGAAGTTTCAAAAGAAAAAAGAACTTCAAATAGAAATTGGGTTATTTATTCTTAATTGAAGTATGACTTACACTAAAAAAACAATAAATACATTAAAAATAAAAAATTAAAATATTTAGTAAAATAAGAATAAAAAATAATACTTATTTTAAAATTTTGAGCAGGTGATTTGCAAAGATTGTTAAACAGCAAAACATGAAAGAGAAATGAAAGTTGCTCACAGCCAAAAAAGTTTACATGCAACAACCCTTAAAATATGACTTTTTCATGATAATGTTGTGTATGTAGAGAAATTGGCAAGTTTGTACACATACAAAAAAAATTAAATTCTTTTAAAAATATTGGTGTTTGATTAATTGTACTAAGCTTTTCAATTTGTGATTAGTAAATATAGTTTTCACCTAATAATAATAATATCTAAAGGGTCAAAATTAATACAGAATTTTAAGATTAAAAAAAAATTTAAACTTAAGTTATTCTAATTAAAATATAAAAAAAATGAAAACATCTTGTAAAAATTCTTTATTCATTGAAAAAAAATGTTATTCATAAGACAATAATTTCCTTAATGTATCTTATTTATAAAAGCAATAAGCTTTTTGTAATTAAATAATGTCTTAGTTTTATTGCACTTTTTATTTTAATGATTCAGAGTGCAGATTTTCTGTAAATGAGTTACTGTTTGAAAAAAAATATGATGATTTACATTCTCCAAGGAGTCTTGCTTTTAACTAATATAATTATGCAGAGGGACAAAATTTAATTTCTGGAAATTTCATTACGTGGGGCTGTCGGTGTGGAGGGGTGGTAGCAGAGATAAAAAAAATATATTTTTATCATGACTCTCTAAAAAAATTTTTTTAAAATAATTTAATTCATTTGTGAATAAGTCCTGAATATTTTATCAAAATTTAACTCTTTGATTTTTAAAAATTTCCAAATCAGTGTATTTTTTCAGTGCAAGAAGATGTTAAAATTTTCTATACTAATCTTTGCTCCTCCTGCTGACATAAAAATATCTTGTTTTGATTTTTAACCAAAATTTTGAATGTGCTAGAAAGTATTAAAAAAATCTAATAAAATAATCAAAAATATTTTGGTCTTTCCTCTTAATGTTGATGATAAAAGTTTGTTTTTATGAAGTTTGGGGCTCTTTTCAACCTGCTATGCTCTTCTTCTTTTTTTTTTTTTTTTTTTTTTTTTTTTCAATGAATTATTGGAAGTACCTACTATTGTCTATAGAAAGCACTAAATTTCTTCAAAACCAAATGTTAGACAAAATTGTTTTTGTTTTTATAAACTGAAGTTTTTTTTCTTTTTTTTTTTCTCATTCCAAATGATTAATCTTCATGTTTGATTTAATAAATAAATTTAACATTCTAATTATTCCAGCATCTTGTTTGTAAATGTTGATTGGCTTTTTCAATCAAATGCATTACTTGATCATTTAAGAATGTTTTAATTTTAGGTATTGCTTTTGAGAAAATAACTTTAAGCTAACTTATATTACTCATATATAGAGAGAAATAGTAGGATCTGTATCAGCTTTAGGAGAGATTTTTCAAAATATATACAGAGAATGTCTAGAGAACTTAAAAAGATTTGTAAAAATGTATCCTATTTAATCCCCCCACCCTCCACCCCGCCAAAAAAAAAGGAAAAAAAAGAAAGGAAGGAAGAAACTATTTTAAATATTGATTCAACATGTTAGTCATTTTTTTTTTTTTTTTTTTTTTATTCTTTTATTCCCTCTGATTATTTCTACTCAAATCAAATCTTAACCTGCTCAGTTTTTGCAAAGATTTTATAGATGCATTCTTTTCTTTCTATGGATTACATTTTTGTTTTCTTCAGACTATTATCAGTAATATTTTATTTTCTGTTTAACTTAATGTATATTATATTTTACAGGAATAAAAAGTTTGGCAGGAGGAATAGTGGACCAATGGATGAAGAAAATTAGGGAGAAGAGCAACATAGAAAATAGTAATGGTAAGAAATTACTCTACCACCAGAGTGTTACTATTTGGTGGAGAAAAAAAAAAGTTATGTCGGGTATAGCTATTTGAGTTGCTTGGACTTGGAGTTATAATTACTTTTCTAATATACTTTATTAACAGTGCATGAAATTATCTTTAATAAAGCAATATTTTGATTAGAAATATCTGTACCCATTTGCTTCCTGCACAATGATAAATAAGATAAGATTAACAAATGTACCCACAAAAAATGGTGTCAAAAGGACAGTTAACACTGCTATTACTGTATACTCCCCTGGTAATTTTTATAGTTTTTAAAAACTGTTTTTAGAATTTTAATAAAACTTAAACATGAAGCTGGACTTATGCATTTTCTTTTTTCTTGAGAATTTATAACAATTTTTTTTTTATTCATGAATTTATAAAAATAATTGGGAACAAGAGTATAACAAATTTTAAAAATACCATTATACTAATAATTTTGAAGAAGTGCATTTTGTAGTCATTTCTTTTATTTGCTCTCACCATATAAATTTGCAAAAATAGTTTGAGAAAAAAAAAATGTATAAATCTAGTTTGATACATTTAGGTTTTCTTAAAATTCTATAAACAATTTTTAAAGAAATAAAAATTCTTGAGGGGAGTATATGGTAATAGCAGAAAAAACTTTTTTTTTTATTTACTGCATAACTTTTATTGTGCCATTTTTATATTGAGTAAAGAAGTAAAAAAAAAAATTCTTGAGTTGCTTTTGAAGCTTACTATATTTTTTTCTCTGCTCTAGAAGTTAAATCTGAACACACATTTTGCTGATTTTTCATTTAAGTCTAAAGCTTGAATCTTGGACTTTTAATTTTTAAAATATTTAAGATAGAAACATTAGTTGTAATTGAAGAAAAAAAAATTAAAGAGCATTGAGATAACTTTATCTAAGACAATCCCCGTTCATAACAAGTTTTGCAAGTAATGCATTTAATTATTGGCTTGTGGGTCAATATTAATTCAATCTTAATTCCTTTTGTTTTCTCTATTAATTGCTGTCAAGTAAAATTGTGTAATACAATGCGGCCAACTTCACTGATTTAGACACGGGAGATAGCTTTGTTACATTAATAATTTTGTTAAGTACCATGTCCTATTAACATGTGATCATGACAGTCCACAGATTCCTTTTCTTTACTATCTTTGAATTTTTGTGCACTTTTGGGAAAGATAGTAGAGTGGTTTCTTCTTGCCTTCTCTATGTTTTTGAATTTAATTTAAATTCTCTTAAACTGGTTTCTACCTAGGAGGTCTACCCCTTCTATTTAACCCATAGCAGCAGATAGGAGAGCTGGATTATGAATACAACTCTCCTCTCTTCCACTTTTCCCTAAGGGCATTAGTGCAAAAGTAAGTGCAACAGACAAATATGGAATTTGAACTCATCTCCCTTTCCATTCTGATATCTGTTACACTACTCACACATCCACCTTAATAATAATAATAATAATAATAAGCAGCAATGAATGTAATATGTGACCATAATTGGTACACTTGGCAGTTTAAATATTAATACATCAAACTTATGGTGCATTAAGTAGGATATTGTGGCAGCTCAGTCTGCAATAGTTTTAAAACTGTCAAAGTTGAGCAAAGAAATTTAATTCTGAAATTCAAACTCAATTCTCAGTGTTTTAGTTCAAAGATTTAAAAGATTAAGGCAGTAAACTTGACAATGATTAATTTCCTATAAGTCAAAGGTTTTATTCATAAAATTTATATCTATTTTGCTATTTTTGCAACTGAGTTAAACACGGATGTTAGAGATAACTGATTATAATTAGAAATTTAATTTTTTGATTTATATTGAAATGCACATTTAGAACAATTTGTTCATATTTTAAAAAAATATGAATTGAGTGAATAAATGAATAAAGTAAGTAATTATTTTATATTCAAATACTTTCCATCTGAAAATCATAGTTGGCTGCATAAAAATTGATAAGTGTCTTATTTTGCTTATTTGGGATAGTATTACATTTTTAAACTATTTACAATATATTTTATAGTATAATTAACAATTATTTCATTTTGAGGTATGAAGTAGTCTTGTGAAATGTATGTGGGTGTGATAGATGTTAAGCTAGTCTTTAGATAAAATTGTTTCACTACTATTAGGAATAGTTACTGGGGATTGAGAGAGAAAATTGTAATGAATATGTAACAAGAAAAAAAGTCGATTAACCTCACGCCCCAAAACACACACCTTTTCTCTCAACTCTTGAATAGTAAAATTATCATTTGACTGAAATCTTCAAAGTTTTTTGGGGACCAAACTTATAAGCAAATAAAAAAAACAAAAAGCTTCAAATAAAGTTTGTGTTAAATTGTGATGGATTTTAAGCAGTTATTTAATATTGAACATGTATAGTTGACTTTAATGAAATGCATAGAAATTTTTATTGCTGCATTGTATGTTTAGGATAGGCTGGCAACATACTATCATTTATTGTGTCTCAATATCGAAGAGTTAGTTCTCTCCCACCCTACAACTTTCCCTAGGGTAGAACAGAATTACAGTGGAACCTCACATCTCAAAGAAATTGGTTCAAATGAATTTTTCAAGAAAAATATACTCCGGTTTTTGAATGAAAATGATGTCAGCTGAATGAACACTAATCAATACAAGGAAGCTCCAAACAAGCAGATGAGTCAGTTACATGTTGACTTCTGTTGATGTTGTGCATGTTCAATCTATCAATGTGTGTTTTGTCATATTTTTATATATTATTTCATTATTTTATATACTCTAATGGCTCTGAAGAATGTTAGTGATAGCAGCAAACTTAGTAAAGTTGTGAGAGCCACAGTTGAAGTGAAAAAAAAAACAAATAGCAAAACATTAAAGTGGAATTGCATGTCTTTGATTTAGCAGTGAATTTTTTGATGCCAACATAAGCTGAAGGACAAAGATGTAATCAAAACAGCAGATTAATCCCTATGGAAAAAATATTTGGTTTTTGAATTTGGAACTAATTAAATTTGGGAATTGATGTTCCACTGTGTATATCATTGGTAGCAAGGGAGAAACTCTGATTTAAATGTTCTCTCAATGTTTACATTTTTACAGGCTAAAAAATCTTCCTGATCTTATATATAAAATTGGGCTATGTAGAATTTTGACAACTATGACCTATAAATTGCAACTGGCATGTTTTTAGTTTCTTTAACATATTTTAATTATTTTATATTTTAGTAAAATTATCTGTTAGTATGATTTTTATTTCTTTTAAATTTCACACAAATTTCACTGCTTCTCATATTCTTATAAGTAACCATAACATGCATTTATAACTGTATTTTAAAAGCTTACCATACATATATTAATGTTGGTTTTGTTTCATATAATTTCAAGATATTTTGTAAGTAATGCAAATAATTTAGTTAAAAACTACAAGTAGCTTGCTCACTGGATAAAACTATTTAAAAATGTGACTGTTCTTTTTTTCAAATATATTATTCTCAATGAGGCAATGCTAAATTGTTTGTAATATTGAAGGTACTGATATAAACATGAAAAAAATATTTGTAAGTATATTTGACTGAAAAAGTGAAAAGTATTGCAAGTTTTAGGTCAATTTAGATGGAAATAATTAAATGTAAGGACCAGACATTAAAAGTTTAATGATGAATATTTATCATCTGAAATTTTGTTTCATTACATGACTGGCATCAACTCAAAAATTCTAAGCCAAATCTATCTTAATGTTCATGGCTCTTAATTAAGTAACAAAATGTTTTTAACAGCTAATTTTGTCCAAATATATTAGATAAAATATTGACTTATAAAAAATATGTTCAACAAAAGACTATTTTCAACTATAGTTCAACAAAAGCATTTTTGGTTGTATTGAGGCACCATTTCAGATATTTATAAATGGTGCACATTCTTCACCTTAAATTAGTATTTCAGTATGTTAAAATCAGTTTGATATTTGAATGCCTAAAATACCTTAGTTTTAATCAATATTTTTTAAAGCTGAAAATATTTGTGATAAGTTATAATTTATTAGTAAAATATATTTGTTTTCTCTGCCTTAGTGGAGTTTGAATTTGGATATATAGTTTTCAATAAATCAATAGTAAAAAATTCCAAATATAAATTAGAATTTGTTCTCTGTTATGAATAGATGGCTTTCAAAAACATGCTTACTAAAACTTTAAATAGATTATTTGTGCACATTTATCACTGAGCATGCAAAAAAGCATTTTAGGTGTGAACTTTTTTTTTTATTTTAACTGTATAAGAAAGCAAGTTTAGTTTTCAAACTGAAACTTAGGTTATTTCAGCTTAGGTTTCAATGTAACTTATATTTTGCATGTAGTTAGTGGTGATAGTTGTTCCATTTATTAATGAGAAATGCAATCATTTTACAACTTTCAATAAAAAAATTGTAAGCTTGAAACTAATTTGGATAACTTGGATATCAACTAGAATGCCATCAAGATATTTAGCAGTTCTTTGTTCAGTGTGATGAGAAAATTAAAAAATTAAAGCCATACTGCTGAGTATTCAAATTTCTGTAATATACCACGTCTACTAACAAATAAATTTTTATCATATTTACATAGAAAATTAACAAGCTTGAAAATTTGTCACTATCGACTGTTAATCCTTTTCTACTTTGTAAATGTGTACTTTTAATTTGAAGGTAAGATTTAAAAGTACCATTGTTCTTTATTTTTCAGACAAATCTGCCAAGAAAAAGAAGAAACATGAAAAACAGGAAAAAACTAAAACTGATTTCAAAGAAAAGAAAGAATTAGATGGGAATGTTGAGCCTAAGACAAGTGAACCTTCTATGGAAGGTTCTGTTAAAGCTGAACAAATGGACACTGAACAGTCTGTGATGGCTAATAAAAATATAAATAAGGTGCTCTTAGATAAGGCGCCCAAAGAAGAGCGAAAACGGCCTAACACTGTAAAATCATATCCCTCCAAATTTAGGTCTACAGGTGGGTAACATTTTTAGTGGCACTAAACTGTGTCTTGAAATTCTTTGTCCAAGAAAAAAAAAATAGAGGGTGGCTATGTAAACATTTCTACTAAGCAATTTGAGGTTTGATTTTATATACGTTTCAATCATATCTTGAGAACAAAGATTTTCACATTTAAAGTTAATATTTTTCTAGAAAATATATTTTTATATTTGGGAATTTTTCTATTTTGTGCAGTTTTTAAATTAGATGAAAGATGGTGGTGTTGAAGGGTGTGTGTGAAAGAGTTTTATATTTGTAAATAGGCAGGAATTTTGAAAACTCATTACCTGCATGATTGTAAATAATTTTGATCATGTGCATTGAAACATTCAGTTGTGATATGGCAACAATGTTTTTAGTTTCCTTGTACAATAAAAAATAATTTAAAATTAATTACAGTGACTAGGTATTTATAAAAATCATTCAAATTATGCTTTGAATTGGCCTATTTTATTTTAGGTTATTTAATTCTAGTCAATCTGAAGTTAACTGAATAATTTTCTCATGACTTTTAGTCATAATGGATCATTGTGGTTCATTGCAGTTAGTAAACAAAACTTGCTGTTTATCATTTATATTTGTACTTACACACTCCTGGAATTAGTAATCTATATTATCTACTTCTTGCAAAACTAAAATTGAACCAATTCAGAAAAGCTTGTAAGTGATACTTGTCTTCACTCTTCTCTTTCAACTCTTATTTGACTGTTTTTTTCTAGCTGTGATTATTCAAGTTTTTATTTATATGAATTTTTAAAGTTGATTTTTGAAAAAACATTTATTCAAATTTTGAATTTTTACATTAAAAGTTGCTACATCTTTTACCAGTGTGTAATCTAATTTATATCTTGAAACTGGGACTGTTTATTACCTCACCTACAAATTGTGACTGTCTGATGGAGAGATACTCCATTTTCTGGTATATAGTGACAATTGTATCACAGAGACTATTTTATGTGGTGATAAAAACAAAAACCTTGTCATGTATTGTGTTTCTTTTTCTCTTTTCATCACTGAAAATGCAAATGTGGAATTAAAAAAAAAAATGATAAAAAATTAAAAATTCTGATTTTGTTGAAACAAGTTGCTCCCCCAGAAAAATTCAGGCATCTTGTTTTATTTTATTTTTTGAGGTGTGGAGAGACAGTTGCTTTTATGTGGGAAAAAATTTTCTTTGCAGTTCATTGTGCCTTAAAAATGAGATAGTTGTCATAAGATTAAAACATTTGAAATTAAAATAATTTGGATTTTAAACACATTCTGGTTTTCTGACAATAATATTTTACTTAAAAAAAGTTATAAGCATATTTTGCTTAGAAAACTAGAAAGAATTAGTGCTAATCCTTGTTCATGGTGACATGTTACTAAAATCTATTTATGAAAATACTTTTGACATTTAGAATATTGTCTATTCTACGTAAGTGTTAAGATTTCTGTGCGAGCAATTTGAAACTTTTTTTCTTACTAAAACATTTTAGAAGCTCCCAAAAATACATAAAATTTGATAAAAAAAAAATAAAGCAGCATTGGACCATGAAGTTAAGTTTATTGATTTCAATTTTACTTGAAATGGAAATTATGAAAACCAATATTAAAAGAAATTAAAAAAAAAATGCTTAAAGCACAGTATAACCTGATTTTTATACAGAAAATATGAATATTGTTTTATATATATATATATATATATATATATGGGAAAGGATACATTTTAGAGATAAGAGAATGGATGTTGCATCCTTAAATGTTGGTATGTAAAGAAAATGTCTCCAAGAAAAATATTGCATCAGTTTCCTGGTATAGGACAGAAGAATGGCAAGGTAAGTACATAGCAAACAATATAGACCCCCATGAATAACAAGATTCATGTATAAATTGAATAATAAAGCATTATAATAAAAAAAAAAAAAAAAAAAAAAAAAAAAATGTATTAAAGGAATTTGATAGTAAATTTATCAAATGTTTGAGGTGGTTTTTAAATTTTAATTGGTATGTGTACAGAATTATAAACAAACTTAGTAGGTTGTTGGATGAAGATTCAAGAATGAAGTTCTCATTTGCAGAGTAGCAAATGGCTTTGTATCATAAGATCAAGAAACAGTGAAAATGAAAATGTCTCTAATGTTTCTATTGTTTAAAAAAAAAATACAAAGGATTGCCATAGTTCTGTTTTTTTAACAGACAGGCATTACTGGTGTGCACTATAGAATTATTCCATCAATCTGCTGCCTCTTCTCATCCTCATTCTGTAACCATAATAGGAGATTATATTCTTTGACTTCAATAACCTCAACAGACTCCATCATGTGTTTGGCGTTTGTGGACTTGTAATAAACAAGAAAAAAAGCACACCCTAACTTTTGAGTCTTTCTTTTATTGTCCGTGTGCTAGTTGGTTGCTGCTGTTACTAATTGATGAATTTCATACAAGTCTTCAGCACTTAAAATGCTGTTGCTTCCTTTCTTTTATATTACAGTGGCTCATTGGCCACTAGCTGTTTCAATTAGAAAAAATGACAATATAGCAGTAAATATCTGGATTTCATATTTTAAAAATGTCCATTATCCATAAGAAATTTACCATTATTTTATGGTATTAAATGTGTTGCTACTAATGAGAAAATCTTTTAAACTACTGTATTGCATATAGGTAAATTGCATTTGCCAAAAAAATATAGAAATGTTCTATCATTTGGCTACGCCTTGAAAATATAACTTTTTGTAATAGTTCAATTTTTGATATCTTAAAAACTTGGAGAAAATATTTAAAATAGGTTTTGAGTTGCCTTAAGACACTTGATTTGACTTAGAAATTCTTTCACTAAAAGTTAAAGGAAGTAATGTAAAATAATGGAGCTTAGAATACACAAGGAGAAAAGTTTAAATGATTTTAGATTCAATGGCTTCCAAAGAATATCAGTTTATCTCTATCTTTTTATTGTGGACATGACATTAGATGTTACTAAAAATTATTAATCCTTGCAATTTCTCTGCTCCCCGCTGAAGACTTTGTGATGTTCTTTCAAATACTTGCTGAGTGTGATAGATTTTTGTGTTGGCCAATTTTTTAATAAAGATGACTAATGGGGAAATACAAAAAATAAAATTAATATTTTAGCAGTTAAAGAACGAATAACAACAAATAAAATATTAAATATGCAATAAATCAATCTTGTCTAAAACTGATTTGAAAAATGCATGTTAAGTAAATGCAACCAGGCTTGTGGGTTTCTACAAAAACTTTCACATTGTCTACAGATGCTTACAGAGAACATTAAGTTTAACAAAGTTAAAAAAAGAAAAGGAACACACACACACACACACACACATATAAGCAATATTTGAAATATATAAGTTCAAAAAAAAATCTATATACCTTATATCTGCAGCTTTGCAAAAATTAGGAATTTTAAATAGTACTTCTGGTGTTATATAACATCAGAAATACTATTTAAAATTATGTCTGGATATACAGACAATGTATTTGAGGTTTTATCTTCACATGTCACCATTTATACTTAAAACATAAGTTGAAATGATTTTGTTTCCATCACAATGTTACTTCAATGTGACTTTCACATTATTATATTAGCCAAATCCTTATTTTTAAGGTCTTAAAGAAATATAGGTCAAATGTCTCCTATAAATCCAACTAAAGCAAAAATCGGTACCTGATGTAACTGATGTCAATTGAAAATTTTAGGTTCATAACTATATTCCTAAGAATTTAATTTTCATGTAAGGCAGACAAAACCTTTTCTGTTTTGAAATCTTGAAATTTTACCAATTTTTTTTTCTAGAAATAATTTTAGCCTTAAATATTTACTTTAAAAAAAATCAATGAGTTATATATATATATATATATATATAAATAAATGTGTGTGAATGATTAATTGTTTTCAAGTATTACTGCACTTGGCCACAGATAAGAAAAACATTTTGAATGTATGAAGTATATGGAGTCTCCTTTCTGTGAAAATATTTAATCACAATATGCTTAATCATGTGTGCTCACTCAATATGCTTGAAATAATTTATAAAATTAAAAAAAAAAGCATTCAACCAAGTTGTATCTGTTATTCAGTAAGATTTGAATTTAAGTATCTATGAACAGATGAAACTATTTTCATTTGTTACTTGCATAATAAATTTTAACTATCATTTGCAGGTCTTGAGGAAGCTACTGTCTTACCACCCAAGAAGAAACCAAGCTCTGATGCTAATATCAAGCCCTTACCAAAGAGACATTTATCGTAAGTTTCTCCTGTTGCTTTGTAAATTACAAAGAAAAACAGGTCTTCTGTAAATTATGTAAAGATAATGTATAGAATAATCACTAGTCACATTCTAGATTTTTATAATTGATAATGTTAAATATTTGTAACATAACAAAACTTTAATGTTGCATTTTACATTTAAAAAAAAATAATATATTTTCCCATATGTTAATCCTAAATTCAGAAAGCTTTTAGTACATGTCCCTTATAAAATTAGACTTATTTTCAAGTACTGAAATATTTTAGGTGTCTCTCATGTTTAATATAAGTTTGTGTAGTGATAAGGGGGAGATAAGCTTATACCCAAATCATTTGCCACACTAGTCCTTGTCATCTAAGTAAATCAATCCATGCTTTAGCTACAATTATTTTCTAGCAGTTTATTATGAATATTTGATTATTTTTTTTAATAAATAAATAATTTAGAATATTTTTATGAGTTTTTCTTTTTGCAGGCTTGAAATTTTTATATCCTTTTTGTAACTAGTGTTGTTATTTTTTTTTCTTTTAGTACTGATTTACGACCACTAGACCAAATTGTTGATAAGAAACCTCGTTTGACTATAGTGAATCCTTTGACACCCATTACTTCAACTTCCAGTTCAAGTATTACAACCCAAAACTCGACCCCAACAACTGCAAATTCTCCCACCTCTATAGTATCTTCACCAACTGATTTACATAAATCTTTTAAGGGTCTAGCAAGAACCAGTAGACGTGAGTACATATCTGTATCTCTCATTTATTAATTACAAGCTCAATTTTATATTGTATGAAGGAAAAAATGGTTGTAAAATTTTGTATTTATTAGGCAAATAAAACATTTGTGTCTAGTCTTTGATTTCTTACATAGTTTGAGCTAATTTTCTTTTTTGAAATGTTTTCTTTGGAAGAATTGCTGACTCACTAGGCTTCTTTCAAAATAGGATTGGTTACAAAATGCCAAATGTTCTAATATCATTAAAATAGCTCAAGAATGTAGCAATATTATTTTAAACAGTATAATAATGTTACATTATTTGAATTGTTTAATCATCAATGTCTTGTTACATCTAATGGTGTTATTTCTTTTTAGAGTCTTCTATCCATGAAATCCATGATAGTAGTGGTTTCATGGAAGCTCTTACTAGTGCAGGTCCAGTTCTTGGCATGTTAAGGCGGAAAAAGAAACCAACAACAGTCAGCAGCAAGACAAACAGTCCTACAGGATATAATAAGTTACCTCAGCTGCCATCAGTAAGTAAAATTTTGTTCATTACATATCAAATCATTTCTGTATGATTATGATTTTGGGAAAGGCACACCTTCCTTCATCAAGATTCCCTTCTCCTGCTGCTTTTATTATAAGTACCAGACCATCTTTTTCAGTCTGGTATGCAGCAACCTCCTTATCCAATTAATGTTAGTTGGTTCTATAATTTAAATCATGCTTATTGAACATTGTAATATATAAAAGATGTAATAATTAATATAATAACTTCTAAATATATGGCTAATTTTTTGTAAATTTACTTTAACTGTGCTTTAATATAATAATAATGTGTTAATTATTCAACAGTTTGTTATTGTAACATCTCTTAGTGTATATAAAAACTGAGAAAGAATATATTTTTAGAAATTTATTTCTTTTAAAAAGTTTTATTCAGGATCATTTGAACCACATTCTTTTCTTTGCATATATGTTCTTTCTTCTAGTTCTGTTGAGCTTGCATGTTTCATTTGATGAGTCAGTATCTTATTAATTGCTTGAATTGTTCAAATTCTATGATAATTTCTTTCATTTGTTGTTCACTTTCATCAGTATCTTATGATTGGTTAATTCCTATGAATGTGAATTAATAAATACAAACATTTGTACTATCTTTTTCATCAAAACTAAGCTCTCTTCAGATGTTATTATTTCTTTAATAATTTCTTATTTTCAAAGCTCAATGTGGTAAATGTTTGCAAATGATTTATATTGTTTCCAGCATTGTATTAATAAAATTGCATTTTCCGTCCATTTTAACTTTATTTTTTTTTGTATCAAGTGTCTTAAAAGTCACTTTTGAAAGTAAGATCTACCTTTTAGTAGATGGGCCACAAAACGAGCATCATGTACAGAGGCAAAAATATGAAATTCACATGTCATTAAGTGCAGTAGGGTGACTCAGGGGCATTGTCTAAAAGTAATATTGTTTTTGTTTTTTTTCACAAGTCTTTTCTGCAATCCAACAACAATAAAATAAAAAAAAACAATATTCAAAAGTATTTTGGTCATCTATGTTTTCTTGCTTGATGTTTCATTCTGTGTGTGATACCATCATGGAGAATTTCATGTCTTTTTGTATTTCCTCTCAGTAGAAGTGTGATTGCATCCAGATTGCAATTTTTCTGTGATAAAAAAAGGTTTTGAGTTCACTCTTTATCAGAATAGGCTTCTTTCCTTGACATTGAATATTTTTCTGTCATTATATCATCTTTGATAAAGATTTTTTTATAAAATCAATATATTTTCTGTTGCATTTTTGTCTGCACTTGCATCCTCATCTCTTATACAATCATTGTAATTTTTTGTGTGAGTTGTGAATCTATCAAACCAATCAGAACTAACAGTAAAACTTTTTTCAGTTCTTGTTGCTAAGTAGATTTTGTTTTTTTGATTTCCAGTTTTCCATCTATAAAATAAGAGATGGTCCAATTCAATCATAATTTTACTTTTGTTCTTTTACCTTTCCTTACTATTATCTATTTTTTTGATAATGTTCTTCACTGTGCTGTGTTTATTGGAAATTTGATGTATTAAAATTCTTCTTTTTGCTTTTGTTTTTTCTTTAATAACATTTAACATTTTCAGTTTAGAATTTATTTTCATTCTTATGCTTATTTAAAAGTTAAAATTGAAAACTGAAATTTATTTATTAGGTGGCATAGACGTTTAGTCAAGTATAGTCATTTTTTATTTGCCTTAAATAAAAATAAAAATTCCACATTTTGCTTAATGTCTAGTAAAATGATGATCTTGAATTCTGCTCTGAGATTTTCATTTTTCTGTAATAGAAAAAAATCTCACAAATAAAAATTATAAAAAAAAAAATATTTTGTTTGAAAAAAATCTATAACCTATCTCTATATAAAAATTATACTTTGTGCATGACTTGTAGAATTTTGTCAGGAAATACCTTTTATTTTTTTTCTATTTTAAAATGAATTTACCAACTATTGCTTTTCTTGTAGTTTTATCGAGAAACCTTAGAACCTAATGATGATAACAGATTGGAACAAGAGAATTCTCCTCCAGAAGATAAAAATGGTGACTCGAATGATGTAGAAATGAAAGATAAAACTGATGAAGGTAAGGAATGTTATGTTTAATTTTTCTCTTATCAGACATTGGAGAAAGACTCTATTCTTAAAATAATTACATCATTAATTATTAAACCAGTTAATGATTTTTACAGTTTCATTAAATTATTGCTTATGAAAAATTATTATTGTGATATTTTTTTTTACCCACTTTTAGTGAATGTACAAGAAGGTGAAAATTGTGTTCTTGGAGAGACATCAGAGCTAGCAGCTGATGGCAGTGGAGCCTCAGGACAACAGGCAACACTGGTGCGTAGAAAATGCAAAAAAAGGGTTACATGGGCAGATGAAGGTCGCAATGATGAATCCCACTTGCGGCAAATATTTTATTTTGAGCTTGATGAGACTGAACGAGGTGAGTAAATAGTTTACTTTCCCCAACATATTTTCTTTTTTTTTTTTCTCCATCTCATGATATGTCTTTCATACATATAAAGTGCATGAAGAAAGGAATATTTGCTGTATTTTGACAAAATATCAAATATTAAATTTAATGGCCAAACTCTTACTGATGTTTTTTTACTTTTCTTTTGTCTGAAGGATATTTGAATTAGATGAAGCATTTTTATTCATTTTTTTCTTTCACCCATGCTACTTAAGTTGTAGAATATAAAACAATTTCAGTCTTGTCACCACGAACAACAATAGTAAGAATATTCTTTATACAACAATATTAATTTAATTCCAGAAAACCCAAATGTTTTAATTCATGAAATCATTAAATTTTATCTTTGAAGTTTGTGACTATATACACAAAACAAAATTTTGATATATGAAATTGTTTAATATTTACAGTAAATTGCAGCATACAAGTTGAGTTTTCAAGATTAAAAGATATTTTGGGGTCATATTTTCAAGCTTAAAAAATCTTTTGTGGTCACAGTTTTAAGTCACTAGTAGCCTACTATATGTTTGGAGGTTGACCTATATGGTAAGTATAGGCCTAACTCAGAACTTGAAGTTCACTTGTACACCGCAATTTACAGTATTTCAGTTTTCAATGTTTCATGAAATAAAAAATTTCAAATAGATTGATAGATATTTTGATAAATAAAAGTATTGCAACTTATTGTGTGATTGCATGATGATTTGCTTTATTACAGAAAATGTAAATCGTCCGAAAGACTTTGATGCAATGAAAAAAGAAGAAATGTTAATGGACCGAAGGGTAAGTAGTTCTACATTATCAATTTTTTTATGCTTTATTTAAATAATTTTTTTTGTTTTACTTTGTCTCTATGTACAATTTTATCTTTACAAAATTGTACAATTCTATGCTAGATCCATTAAGATACAATTTATGAAACACATTTTGTTAAAATGTAATGATGCATTAAAATATTTAAAATAATGAATCTGAAAATGTAGTTTTATATACGCAAATGTGCCAAAAATCATGAGATAGCAGTATGTAAAATTACATGTATCCTAGGAATATCTGATAGAAGGTATTGCTTCTCACTGTGAACAGTGTAGTTGCTGATTACAAGTTCTTAATCCCCATGAGCAGAGGAATCTGGCAAGACTGGTTCAGATCATATTCCCATTCAGTGCAGGTGGTACCAGGCACATATCCAGCAAGTTAGTTCAGCATTCTTTGCTTTCCATTTGCAGGCTGGTGGTAGTTTCATAATAGTGTGTGGGCTTTGTGTTTGGTCTGCTGATTCTCTGAAACATATTAACTAGTGGGGATACTCTGTGTTGCTCGAAAGATCTCTGAATAATAATTTATTATTGACAATTTATTGATATTTTTCAGTGTTCTTAATGGAAAATAATTTTTTATTCAGTCATTTAAAAATAAACTTTGCTGGGTGGGGGTGCTTAGGAAGCTGAGCATCCCCATATTTTTATTCAAAAAGACACTTATTTTTTGATTTAAATACTAACATTAACACTGTTAATGTTTTTTTTCAAAATTAGATAAAAGTTTACTAACCATTTTTCAATTAAAAAATTACGATATATTTAAACATATTTAATTTAATCTTTTTTTCTTTCTTTTTCAAGCAAAAACTATAGTGAGCCTTACTTTGAAAATAATTATTTATTATGGAGGGGAATTTAGATTTTTTAAGCAATTAAAGTTTTTTACTTTTAAACATTAATTACTAACTATTTTGAAAGACATTAGAAGCAAGATACATTGAAATTTAGTTTTGAAAAGTGATTATATTTAAATTTCAATAATATTTGTATTTGAAAAAAAAAACTTTAGTTAAATAAAAATTAGCAAAAATTAACATTACTTATGGTCAACATTAATCGTGTTGAATATTTATTTTACAAATTTAACTATATTTAATTTAAAAAAATAAGGCTTGCTATAGTTTTTTGCTTTAATAAAACTTCATTGAAAATTATTTACATTTTTGTTAGTTACAAACCAGAAAAACAATGAAGATTATCTTTTAAAGATTGAATAAAAAAAATATTTTCTATAAGATGGTTGAAAAATATTAATAAGTCAATAACACACACACACACTATCCTTTAGAGTGATACTGAGTTTGTATATTTATTTTGTAGCCGAACACACACACACACACACACACACACACACACTCTTGAATATTTGAATAAATAAATATTAAACTTGTCAAATAATTGTATTTAATATTCTTCTTCTTTTAAATTTACTTTGGTGTTCTAATATTCATTTTTTTTTTTTTTTTTTTTTTTTTTTTAAAGTTATGCTTTTATTTACTATAGATGTGAAAATAAATAGAAATAGAGAATAGAAATTTTAAAAATACATATAGCATTGAGCAGAATCAAAAGTAAAAAACAGATAATCATTATCTGGAATAAGAATTATTACTGTTCGTTTTTACTTTTTAATTCTGAGAATCTCTAATGCATTTTAATTTTAAAATATCTTTGTAAATACAAATCATATGATGATAATTTTTTTTACAAAAAGTTGGGTGATAATGAATCTGTATACATATTTACTTTGTAGTTTTTAGTTTTAGCCAGATGCACACTCACACAGACAACTGGCCTTTATAGTATAGAAGATGACCACTTTGTTGCACTTGCACTCATTCTTGAACTCCATGCCCCCCCCCTCAAATGATGGGTTATTTAAGCAGGATGTTGCATTATGTCATCATGACCAAATTGGTCAGGATTGGTTTGTGGAAACTTTTGACAAATGGTGTAGCCACTACATTCACCAGACATGACCTCATTGAACATCTACAGGATGTATTGAAGAGGTCTATTCATATATAAGATAATGCACCTACAAATATCAGTAATCTGTGGACAGCTATCAAGATGATATGGCTCAACGTCCCTTCAGAGTTCTCATGACCACTTGTAGAATCAAGGCCAAGTCAAATTACTACACTTTACCAGGCTAGAGTGGCTTGCATCTGATACTAGACATAAACCCATAACTTTTGGCTGATCAGTATAGCAGCAAAGCCTTATACCAATCTGATCTTAATTTGCATGGGGGAGGGGTATATGCTAATAGAATTTTAACCATGTGCTTTAATGTGAATGCATTCCTCTTCAATTTATGAGACTAGAAAAATATAATGTCAAATTTTGCAAGAAAAAAATTAAAAGTAACTTTGGGGAAGACCAGTTTTTATTTGCTTACAAAATTGGGTGATTTTCTGGTATTTGTTAAACCATTTGATGATCATTGTACACATTCTAACAAACATAATAGGCTGTAAAGTGTTTTGGTGAGAATATTGTTATAGAGAATTAATATTTGAACAATTTTGTTTTTGTTTTTTTGTAATAATTTTTTCTAACTTGTCTCCAATTTTTAAGAGTTAAGATTTTTCCTTGAAATTCTCCCTGAAATGTTTATATAAAATATGAATTTAGTAAAAAATTAATGAGTCATAAACCTGACACTTAAGAATTTGTTTATCTTTACGTGTTTATTAAATCATTCCTATATTTATTAACTCTTTCCTGATTTTAATAAATTTTTCATTTATTTCAGGCTGTGAAACGGTTGAGTCATGACATAATGAAGGAACAAATCAATGTAAAATCCTTTTTTTTCTTGCAAATTTTATACTTGTTCATCTTGTGCCTTTTTTTTTCTCCTTTTTTTTTTTTTTTTTTTTTTTTTTTAATATTCTGTTAAATCTTTCATCTACCTACAGATATTTTTACCTGTTGAAATTTTATATGCATATATATATTTTTTAATTAAACAATATTACTGTATAAGGGATCCTCATCTCTTGCAAAACATGTGAGAAGTGCCATATCTCTCACAATACATAAGTGGTCTCTTTTGCAACAAAATTGCAAGAGAAATCCTGTCTCTTTTTCACAAAATACATAAAGAGTCCTGTCATTTTTGCAAAATGCCCATTTTAATCAAGCCAATATTTGGCTTCTGAATTCATCTATTTTCAAATAAGGCAATGCTTTTCATAAAACTGTTTTACAGTAAATGTTCTAATTTCTAGTGAAAGGATTTCCTTTTCTAACTGAACATGTATATAATGGTAGAGTAGAGGGCTGATGAGAGAAAAGTCTAAGGATCCATTCTAGCAATTGAATGAAGTTATACTTTTATAAAAATAAAAAAAATAATTTCAAAATTAAGCAAAGCACTTTTCCTACTAGTAGTTTTTCATTTATCCTATTTAGAAACACAGAAATGGCAGCATTTGTTTTTTTATGTGTAGGATATAAATTAGAACATTTTCTTATTTTTTAACAAACCCAGAATTGTCTTTTTGATAGACTTCAGAGATATTTAAGCTGTTTAATAGTTTCTCTAGTTTTAAATAGATTCGGCAATATTCTTTATAACAATTTTTACAAAAAAATATAAGTTAGTTTTTCTAGACATTCACTCGAGATGTAAAGGGGAAGTAACTCTCTAAAACAACCAATGACACAAAAACAAATTGAATCGATTTTACTTTTCTTTGATTTCAGTGGCGAAGGCCTGTTCCTGTTGAAGGGAACATGCTGACAGAAACTGGCTGTAGCAGTGTAGAAAAAGAAGTTCAAAAACAAAGAGAACAAGGTGTTCTTCAAGCACTCTACTTCTCTAAACATATGTAAGTGCATTTATCCTGCTATAACTTGATATATTTCATTTGAATATTAACTAAGGGAACATGATTATGGGATGTAGTTCTTATCTGGAAGAAAGACAAATTAGGATCTTCCAAACTACAGATGTAAAACTGCCAAGTGCTATTTTTGTCTATAAAAACGTATATTGAAAAACAATTGATAGAAAAATGAATGTAAGATGATTTCTTAGAATTTAACTCATAAATGAAAACTAATTTCCTTTTTAAAGTAAAAGAAATAGTATTTTTTTTAATAAATACAGATAATTAATTCTTTGAAAATGTACCAGGTCAATTGTGACATTATCTTATTTTTTGCACATCTTGTTTGATTTCTTCTGGGGGATTGCTTTCCTTGTTCCCATTTCTTTCTGTTATTTGAGTAGTTTGTTCTTATGTTGAAATTTTATTTGAAATCAAAATTATGAAACTGCTTTTTTTCTCATTTTCATTGATGTTCTTTCAATAGTTCAGTGTGCTATGGACTGAAAATTATAATTTTCTTTGATTGCTTTTTCTCTTAGCAACAATTCTGATTTAAATTTAAATATTAAAAAAAATTCTCTTTTATTATTACTCTTTTTTTTTTTTTACAGGTTACCAGATGGTCCAAGTGAACCAGATTTGGAACCAGTTGAACCAGAAGAACACAAAATTATTCCATTGGAAGATGTAAGCCAGGATGAAATTCTTTTTCTTATAAATGTTAAATTTCAATTTAAAAGAAATCAGATAAAAAAGTTTTTTGTTATTCATTTGACCATAAATCCATTTCTTGAAATGATCTTCAAATGGGAATCAATTTTTTTATTAGGTGACTTAGTTAATTTAACAAATTCATATAGATTGATATGCATGTATATTTTGAAATTGGGTTACATGAATGTGGAATGATTTAATAAATTTTCTTAGGTTTTGATCCATTGATAAAAATGTCTACATAGAAAATTTTCATTATTTTGTGTCAAAGTGATGTTTTTTTGTGGTAAGAGTTTATAGATATTGTCTTATTTGTAAGTATTTAAATTAGAATTTACTCAAATTGTATTTATTCTTATTATGCATACAGGTTGATATGTTGCTAAAAAACAACCAACCAACCAAAATATTATAATAATTTAGTGTTGTTTAATATTCTTATGTGCCACATTCAGATATCTTTAATTATATCTCTTTGTATTTTTACAGGAACAGGCAGGTCTAATTGAAGAACCAACATATTCCTATGATCATGTTCAAGAAATGACGGCAGTTGAAAACATGGAACCAACAAGCACACCAGCAGTGAATTTGCCGCCAGAACTTGCTAATTTGATGGCTTCTTTGCAGCCACAAACACAACCACCACCTCCAGAGAATTCTGTTCCTGTTGATCCCACACCAAGTCCTGTAGTAGCTAATATGCAAAATCTTCTTTATTCTTTGATGGGAAATTCTGGCAATGAATATGGTAGTCAGGATGAGATGACAGAAAAATTAAAACAAATTCTTGAACCACTCAAGAATCAGTTACCAGGTAAGAGGTATAATATATAAACAGACACCATTTGTATATTATAAATTTTGCATTTTTATTCTCAGAAAGTTATGGTAATCTATCTTTGCTACCAAACATCATTTAAACTTAATGTTCTAATATTTAGTGTTTAATATTCTAAGAAAAGTATTTAATTTTGAGTTTTTTTCTTTATTTAATACCTAGCATTCAAAATTCTCTGTAATTAAACTGTATGCTTTCTATGGTTTGATCAGATGAGACATACTAAACATGCATTAACTGAAATTTGTGATAATTTAATGTAGTGCTCACGCACTGTATCTGAGAAAAGTTTTACAAACAAGTAATATCAGTATAATCAGTTATTGCAATGTAAATTCTCCCAAATCTTTTCCTAAACATTCTTAGTTACTTGAGATTTGACACTAATACTTCTTGTTTTTACAATTTGGCCTTTTTTAAAGTGTGTGATTGTTGTTAAACACAAATTATTTTTTTATTAGATAAATTTAAGGCAAGAGACTATTATCGAAAAATTATTTTTGACTTTACATAATTTTATTTTTTTATTTAACTGAATGAAAGCAACTTTTGAATTAATAGCAATATTAATAATTTCATACAGAATGCAAAACTTAGTTTATATTACTAATTCTGTTGTTCATAAATATTTATTGGGTGCCAACCACAATTTCAATTGGCTAATTATCATTTTAAATTCTGGAGTTAAATTTGATCACTATGAATGCATAGTCATTAATGGCAGTGTGTGATGAATATGTTAAATCAATCTGAGTTTTTAATTTCTAGTTTATTTTCTAATAATATCCTTTGTAGACAATTTGTTAGCAATGTCTAATACTGATTAAAAATGTTTTTATTTTTTTTATTATTTTACTCTTTGGTTGATATAACATTATAGGCATTAAGAGTGTACAATTCTAATCTTTTTTTTTTTTTTTTTTTAGGTCTTGGTGGAGGCCCAGTACCCCCACCACATCATGAGTATCCAGAATATATCGATGAATGGCAAGAAGGTCCACCAGATTGTCCACCTGGACCACGAGGTCCACACCCAGGGCCTCCAGGAATGCCTGGTCCTCCTGGCCCTCCTTGCCCACCTGGTCACTTTGGACCTCCAGGTCCTCCAGGACCTCCTTGTCCACCAGGACCAGGTCCTTGTCCTCCAGGCCATGGGCCTGGGCCTGGACCAGGACCAGGACCAGGCCCTGGACCTGGACCCGGACCTATGAGAGGTGGAAGAGGAGGAAGAGGGGGATTCCCACCAAGAGGAGGAAGAGGAGGAATGCCTCCTGGCATGCGAGGCCGTCCTGGGCCTGGACCTGGGCCTGGACGACGAGGTTAGTAGATTTTAATTAGTATATTTCTCTTCTTTTTTTAAATAGGATAAATAAAACCGTTAGCATCAATTTTGTTATGTAATGATGTTTTTAAATCTCTGGAATTTTATCAACACCTGCTGCCTTGTTTGTTTGAGCTATTCACTAGCTTTGGTCTCGTCTAGAGTTCATGTCCAGATCTGTTTTCACTGGATGTTGTGGGAACCACTAAGTTGCTGATTTGTAGACTGTGCATTTGGTGCTGGAGAGATTATGGGAGTATTCTGACCTGTGCTAGTATGGATGCCTTATTTGTAAAGAATGCTTGACGATCTGCACTTTACAAAGGATCTGGACCTTGGATGAAGATCCACCTTCAGGACTTCATAGAATCTTCTGTAATTATCAGTGTCTGCATAGATTTGAGTTCTTTCTACAAGGTTAGTTCACCACTTGTTCTGGATCGCTTGAAATTTATGCTGGAGGTTTTTGCATAAAAGGCTGCTTCCTTAGCAGGACAGGATAGTCAAGCAAGATGCTTGTGTACTAATCTCTTTTAAATCAGTAGTTCTTGAATCTTCTTATTGTTTTTGTCAAACCAGTTTTTGTTAGTGGAAAACCATAGGACTTTCTCAGAGGTCTGTGGTATGGTTTCTTTCAAATGTTCCCAAAGCACTCCTGGAATAAAAGATCTGTGGAGCAATTAAGTTCTTTGAGCTTTGCCTGAAGCTCAGCTTTCACATCAACTGACTGGAGCTTCTTCAGAGCACACCTTCACTTAGTCTTGGATCTGAAGTGGAGACTGAATTTACAGTGAATGATCTGTATGACTTAGCAATAGGCATCACTTTAGTGAGTAAGAATTCCCTGAGATCTCTGGCTTACCAGAAAATAATCTATGAGTTGTCAGTGCTTGCAACTAGATTGTCTTTATAGTGTCTTTCTGCTGGAGGAAGATGGTGTTAGTGATTGCTCTGCACAGAACAGCAACTGCTAACTGCTGTCAGTGCAGTTGCCAGTACCATGCTTTGGAATATCAGCCTACTCTGGAATTGAAGTCATTAAGGATGATGATTTTATCATCTGTAAGAACTTGCAGTCAGTGTAGAAGAGTTGAGGAATACATGCTTAAGAGTGTGACATGTTGTCACAAAGTGGGAGGTACATGGTGAAGATGTGTGGGTGACTTGTTGATAGTTTTTGATGTGATGGAATTTTTGACCATGACACCTATCCCTGACAAGTGCTGTTAAATTCTTGACTGACTTAACCAGCAGAGGTTGTAATTGGTGCTTTGTTCTTAGAGGCTATCTTCCTCTGGGATTCAGATGTCACTGAGAGCAGCAATCTGGAAAGCTGATGTTCAACTCTTGCAGAGCATCATTCCGGAAAACAACTGTATGTTGCCTCAAGCATAGTCATGATGTTCCAATATGCAAGTTCTAATCTTTGCACACATTTTGAAGTAGATGCGTACCTTTTCTTCTTTAGTGATACCGCATGTGAAAATGCCTGTTGACCATTCAAGTCAACTGAGAGAAATAGAAATTTGCTTTGGTTAGGCACCACATTCTAAGCACTTCTCCATATAGTGCAAGTAGTGCTGTTACAAACAGTTGATTGGCCTTTTAGGTGTCTGCCAAAAATCTTAAGATTAATATTAGATTGCCTATACATTTGAACTGTCTGCGGGAAGGATTGGAACTGGGGATTCTAGTGACATCTTTCACCAGTTGTTTTCACTCCTTGTTGCTGCAGGGCTTGTGAGGGTTGGGGTAGTGATGGCATGAACATGTCTTTCATGCTAGTGCAATGAGTTTTCTCTAAACTGACAACAGCAGCCAACAAAATAGTTTTCTTCTGTCTACATAAACCAAGAAGAATCTCAAGGTATAACATTCAAGGCCTTACAAATGAAAGGGTTCTTTAAGAATTTAGTAATAAATTAGTCTAAATTGATACCAGTAAATCTAGGTCAAAACTTAGAGGAATCTAATAACGTTTATCATATCATCTTTAACTGAAGCATGTAAGACCATACCAAGAAAGCCTTGAAGGAAAAAATACATCCATGGGATGATAAAAACAGATGCAAAAAAGAAACAAACAGAAGAGTAAAAAAAAAAATGGAAGGGAAAAATACCAAACAATTAACAAAGAAAATAGTTAATTCTTTGATAAATCTGTATCTCTGGAAAATTGGAAATGAAATTAATGAAACCAAATAACACAGACAATGTGTTAAAATGCAGAGAAAAGCAAAAATACCATTATAATATCATACAATCAAGACCCTCATAGAATAAATGTCTTGGTTTCAAAAAACACTTTGTCACATTTCAACTGCAGAAATAGAACCAATATACATCCAACCATTACAAAGCCTTTCTCCAAACATAAACAATAATAAACCTACTGATGAGGAAATTAAGATATTAAAAAACTAAGGAATGAGAAAGCATTACTCAACATTGAAACTGAACTTAGCTTACTTTCTCCCTGAATTCAATAACAAGTTCCTCTATTTTATGAACGATGCCTGGAATCGGAAATGCACCCACCAAAAGTGGGATCTATCACACATTAATACATTATGAAAACAAAGGTAGCCCTCAAGACCCTCACACATACAGAGGTATCTCAATTGGATCCATTGTGGTGAAAGTATTAATGAGCATTATATTAAATAGGCTCTCATCGTTTTATGAAAGTCAACTCCTCACAATCCAGTTTGGTTTTTGTTCCAGTAAGTGATGTCACAATGGCATATATGTCATGAAATACTCAAATTGTTTACCTCTCTAATAGGAAGCTGTATAACTGCTTTGTCAGCCTAACAGCAGCATATGACCACATCAACAGAAACTTTCTCTTCTCTTCCATTAGGAATCAAACTGTTGTTTTCCAAGCTCCAAATCCACTGAATGCATCAATTTAATAGAGGAACTGTATCAGTTTACAAAATCTTACATGACTGGCCCCTATGTGGAAAACATTTCAAACCTAATCAGGCATACAATAAGGAGGAAATGAGAACTCCAGTCTATTTAATCTTCTTCTAGACTATACCCTGATGTGAAAAGATGGGCACTGACTATTTAAACATTCCATACTGCATCCCAAAATAGTCTACCAATAGAAGACAACAATCCTACTTTCCCTCCTGAGATCAGTGTACTGATGAGGTGGCTATATGCTGATGACATAGGTGTTCATACTTAGGATAAGAATGATCTTGAACAGAAAATCAGCATCCTCTATAAAGCGTTCCAAGAAATGGGACTTAGGGTAAACCTTTCCAAAACCGAATCAGATCTGGAATTGAAATGAAACTAGTGATAGCACCTACCCTGAATCCATCATAAAAATACTGGATGTGGAATTAGTAAATACTAAATGTTACAGCTGCTTTTGTATATGTATCAACTATAACAAATTAAGTATAGGATTAAAAGAAATTAAACATAGAATAGGCTGTACCAGAGTTAGTTTCACCCAACACTGCCAAAACATCAACCTGAAAACTCGATTCATGTTCTTAAATAACCTCATCAGATCAAAACTTTCATATGGATGCTATACATATGGCACCAAACCCATTCAGAAATATCTAAACTGTCAGCTGTATACAACTACTTCCTAAGATCAATGTTGAAAAAAGGCTTTGAGCATGTACCAATCATCAAGTGCTCAATACTCACTGACCATTTAAATGTGAGGTTGAACACCTACCTGATTTTTGGGCCCTATTTACCCCATTTCGCAATATATACCATAGATAATAGCTCGAAAAAAAAAACCTCAAAACATTATGCCAATGATTCCATAAGAAATTTTGGGTAATTTGCTTTTTAAGCCCTGTGCTAAGTATCTAATAAGAATTTCCCAGACAGTTATATTTTATTCTAAATTTACATGCCTAATTTGAAAATAACAAAGAAATCTTTATAAAATCTACCATGTACGCTTTATGTTTAGACATTTTGTATTAATACTAGGGGTCGCAATTTCCCAGAAAATTTATTCCTGGGATTTCCTGATTGTGACCCCTAATTACTACATGCTATTTATATTTGTTTATTTATGAGAGATTCTTGATGTCTACTGTTGGACAGTCAAATTGGACATGATCAACCAGAGAAAAGTACTCCTATTTATATGACAGAGAGAGAGAGTTAGTGAAATTAAAATAAGTGTTAATTAACAAAGAGTAATGAGTTGATTAGGTTTTGAGTGGTAGAAAAATTGAGGCTATGAATGACTTGATGAAATTAACAGACTAACTGGAAATATTGATAAAGTGACTAACTTAAGGAAAAGGTTGAAAAACAAATTTTTTTTTTTTTTTTTTTTTTTTTTGGACATAAACAATGAAGGGCCAGATATCCTGGTGACCAATAGTTCCAGATGAGTGACTGACCATTGTTGGATAAGTTAAAAAGCTACCTGGAAATATTAGGTCATCCCATAAGTTCTGTCCGAATTTGAATTTTTTGTTAAAATGGACGAAATTTAAAGAGTATTTCATAATGTCTAATGGGGCTGAACATTATTTTTATGTTTAGATGCATTTAAACTGATCAAATTTTATTTCAGAGAACAATAATATTAAATTTTGTTTAAGACCCTGCTAACATGGAAGTACACAAGAATCATTTGAGGCACATAATGCTTTATGAGTCCAAGAAAGGAAACTCAGCAGCCGAAGCGGCTAGAAACATTCACTCAGTTTATGGAGAGGAATGTGTGAATGAAAGAACTTGCAGAAGATGGTTTGCAAAATTCAGAGGTGGAGATTTTACCCTTGAAAATGAAGATCGAACCGGACGTCCAGTTGAATTTGATGAAAAGCTTCTTGAAGCAGACCTTGAAGAAAATCCTGCTTTATCAGTTGAGGAATTGGCAGTGGTTCTCAGTTCAAACCATACAACTGTTCATTGTCATCTTCAACAACTTGGAAAAGTTCCTAAACTTGGAAAATGGGTACCTCATGAATTGTCTGAAAACAACCTCAAATCCTG